AGAAATATCGTCTGTTACACTGCACTGATCAACTGGGGTTCGATACAAATGTCTGAAATACACATATTCTATAGACCTACTGACACATATGTTACAGACCTACTGATATGAGTCACAGCACACATAAACATTTCAGACATTTGTAACGAACCTGTGCTCCGTCGCAAGATCACTCACTTCAAACGCTATCAGTTTCACGCGTCTCGCATCCACGGTTAATTCCTCAGTTTCTGACGACATGTCAAATAACGAGGGTGTTATATAATCTACCGACTGTTGTCAGGTTCCCATACAATCAACAAATAAATTCACGCCTGCATTGTTAACAAAATGAGCAAAGAGAAAAGTTCGAATTAACTTCCAAAAGTTAGCGCGCATTATGTTGTTTGCTTGCAAAGCTGTGTCATTCAAATAGATCATAAATACTATACAAAAACAGTTCAATGCTTAATTAAACCCGCCAAAAATGCCCTTTGAAGCCTTTGTCAGGTATGAATATATGAATCTAGACAGTTGTCACTAGTGTTGAACTTCAAATATAAAAGCTACATTGTATTAGCTCAAAAGCTTTGAAATAACATATAGTAAATGATTTAGTTGTGCGATTCCTTGAAAACCGTACTGAACTTGAAATATCATTCAATTGTACCCTTTAACTAAATCTTACATGCAGACATTGGAAATTGGACGATGTCAGGCATTTGCTTAAATGAGTGACGACATTCTCCTTACAGTAGGACGATTTCTCTATTCTCCAATGCTATTAAAGTTTTCGGAAATTATAAGAAAAATCATCATTTTACATTCTGATTTTCATAAATAGTCAATTTATAGTACATCAACTTGCATTGTTCATATCCATAATCAAGGACTTTGATAGGATTAGGTATAGCTTTTTGATGGTTTTGGTAAAATAGTCTGGTATTGTGTACACTCGTTTATGGAGTTAATTATCTCAGAGAAGTTAAAATTTCAATAATTTCCATTGGTGGGTCGGCAAGGGTTCTTCAAGATTCGTTTAAACAAATTATATTGTTGAATCAGCCTCTCGTCTTTCTGCAGTTGATACATCGCTATTCTTGTCACCATCGCCTTTTCTTGAAATCGGAGATTCTTTAAAAAAAGATCTAGATATTTTTTTTTAAATCACAAAAAAGCGCCAATTACTTTCTTTACAGTGTAAATCCGTATTCAGACATCTATATCTTACTGGATAATTGTTAGTTTTTACAAAAGTGATTTATTTATATATTTAGATGGATGTTGTGAACTAAATAATAGGTTATGCATTCTCTAAGTACAACATTGCTAAACTAGAAAAAAAACAACCCAAAAAACCAACAAGCAAACAAAAAATGTTTGAAGATTTGATTCATATGGAGTCAAAGAATCGCCAAAGGTTTTAACTTCAGTATCCTGTTAGGAAAATAGACGTTATAGGCATTCTCCTGAGACATAGGCAGGGGTAATAAAGCGACGAGGGTGTTCACTGATTGTTCTTGGAGACAAATTATTGAACATTTCATGAGTGCAGATTTCACCTGTTCTCTGTGTTCATTGCAGCCTAAATCCAGATGACTTTACATTGTATAATGTTTACAAATCCTGGTTATTTATTGACAATATTCCGAGATAAGATGGCAATGCTTGAGGACAGGACGAAAAGATTTCATGATTTCACGGTTTTAGACAATTTACCGTGTACTTTTTCTATTTCTGTAATTCATTTTGGTAAGTCGATTAACAATGTTCAAGCTTACAAGTGCATTAGAATGAACATGGTTAATGAAGGGATTCTTAATTGATAAAGACAGGGGGTAAATAAATAATTGTTCAATTAAGTTTGGGACAATATGGACTTTGCATTGTCCCTATATATTTTCACTAATGATATATTTAGGTCTGTTACATTAAGGTTCTTAAAAGTCGTCTCGGTATAACGACTAATGAGGCCAAAAATACTATCGTTATATATTTTATCTCAAAATAAACTGTTTCGCCCGGTAATAGCGGAAATCTGGTTTGGTTTTGTGAGCGTCTCACCTCCCATTCAAGTCTCTCTTGGTTTTTATTTTATTTTATTGTGACAATTGTTCAGTTTGGCTGAAGTTTCATCAGATGTTAGAAATTATGGATATATATCACTTTGGAACCTTCTGTGTCTTCAAACAATTGATGACGCACAAGCTTTTATTAATACTGGTAATTAATATCTGTAAATATTGATGCGCAGAGTCCGAAATGTTAACATGGAAATCAATGGCATGCCTTTACTTTATCTTGTTACCTGGACACTAAAACACCACAACCAGTAATAAACTAACGGACGTGTTTTATTATAAATAAATCCAACTTGTACAAAAAAACATTAACTGGACATAAACTTCACACACTCAAACATACAAGGTCATAAAGTATGTTAGCACTTCATTTATTATTGTATAGTGTCACGTGATTAGTCTGTTATATACTGTGATATACTACCACACACTCAAACATACAAGGTGATACGGTATGTTAGCACTTCATTTATTATTGTATAGTATCACGTGATTGGTCTGTTATATATTGTGATAGTACTACCACACACTCAAACATACAAGGTGATACGGTATGTAAGCACTTCATTTATTATTGTATAGTGTCACGTGATTGGTCTGATATATACTGTGATAGAACTACCACACACTCAAACATACAAGGTCATACGGTATGTTAGCATTCCATTTATTATTGTATAGTGTCACGTGATTGGTCTGTTATATGCTGTGATAGTACTACCACACACTCGTCTGTACAGGACACCTACTCTGACGTAACATGTTACAATGAGAGGATATGATTAAGATATATACAATATTGTTGTCATATAATTGGGATACGGGTGACTGGTTGCCTAGTGAATGGTATAATACCATATATACCAGCCATATGCAGACCAGTAACTGTCATTCTCATACCATTAGACTGTCTCCAATTAATAAATAAATACAAATGTAAACATCAAATTAATACCACTAAAATGGATGGAATGTACTGACCGGACGCGATTGAAAACATTTGCTATTACTTCTGTAAAAATATGAACCCTGAATGAAATCAAAGACTTACACATAAATTGACAAACTACTACATAGTGTTTTCAAAGAAGCCTTTACACTATTCCATCCTGACCAATTCGCCCTCTGTTTTCTTCGTGCTGCTCTGTTGACCGATTCACGACGGTAAATGATACACGACGGTAAATGATTCACGACGGTAAATGATACACGACGGTAAATGATACACGACGGTAAATGATACGCGACAGGAGGAGGAGTACGGATTTAGAATCCGCAGATTATGTTAACACTTGAAATTAAATAAAAAACATTCCTATCTCGCGAAAAATAACTGTTATACCGGATGTAAACCACGTGACGTATGAACTATATGTTCGGTCCATGCCTATTTTCGAAATCAAAATGATCGCGACTTACTATATTGAAATAAGTCCGAAAAAAACACAAAGTCTTTACAAGGGTCTTGGTTTTCGCAAGGAAAGTTAATCGCGTATCGAAATGTATTTTTAATTTCCAATCAGAAAAAATGTCACAAAGGTTATACATCATTCTTCCCTTTTGTGAATTTCGATTAAATTTGATCAATACGTCACAATGAAATAAGATTGCAAAAGAGATTAACAACAGGCAATACTATTGCCTGTTGATTTTAGCGCCAGTTGCTATTTGAGACAGATTGTCGGAAGGGATAGGGGAAAAGAGGAGATAAGATGACTTTCAATGTCTACACGAGTCTAGACAGTACTGGGTGGGCGGACATTGCCCTTGTCGACATTTAGCCAGGCAGTACTGATCCGCCATAGGGTACGCGGCTCTATACTGGGGCGTAGCTCTGCATGGCTGTGGATCACTTCCACTTCCGGCCGAACTAGCCTGGTGACTCTGGATGGTGTGACTGCCATGCATCACATTGATAGGAAGAAAGCCATGAACAGCCTGTAAAGACATGTGTCCAGCAGCTGACTGTTGAGCTAGAACAGATCCGTGTTCGCTAGTCGACGCGTGTTGGTTATCGATATGGTGTTGTTCTGCGGTGGCGTGCTGAGGAGCTTGGTGGTGCGGTAAAAAGTCAGTCCCAACATTATGTGGTACATAACCGAGCATTGAGAGCAGAGACCCGTGTGAAGGCCCGCTCTGGCTGGTGAGCTGATGCCCAGTATTTAAATGATGGTCCTGACTGGGAACATGCTGAACGGGGCTGCCAGGTAAATGTCCATTGACGTGCTGAACTCCGACATTTATTGGCAAGAATCCGTGGACTAAATGCTGAGGTTTGTGTGCTGAACCTTGAATAGGAGTGAGCGCGGGACCCTGGTGTATTGGGACAAAGTGTGATTGGCCACCCTGTGGCAATTGAGGAATGCTAGCTTGGCCTTGGGATACAGGACCTGGGTTTGACTGTTGAGGAATGCTTGATTGGCCCTGGGAAACAGGACCTGAGTTTGACTGTTGCATATGATGACTGGCTACTTGTCCGTTGGGTCGGTGTAACTGAGAATGGGCCACATTTATCGGCAGAAACCCGTGAATAGCCTGAAGTGATGACGGATTATGTTGATGACCCCCTACGAATTGATTTGGTGCTATCTGACCACTGTAGTGGGGGTTTGACTGATGTGCCTGACCCCCGGAAATCTCACCTAGGCCTCCATTTGTTAAAGCACTTTCGTTTTGACTCTCGTCCGTATTCTCGCTGCTACTTTGAGATGATTTGGCCGCAATACTGATATCAGAACAGCCGTAGAACTGTTCCTGTGGACCACATCCCTTACAGCAACGTCTTTTGTCACATCCGTACGAGTTTCCTGCAACAAGAACCGACACTAGTAACAAGTCAAGGGTATATATCCGAGGAAATGTATTGGTAAAATAATAATGCATTTTTCATTTTGATTCATGATATGACCTAAGTGATGACAGTATTGCATTAAGTTTTATTTATACAATGCATATCATAACACGTTCTGCATAGGAACACGGCATATTGTTCATGTCAATGTTTATGTATATAAGATGATATGTATTTCTATATATAAAAACACATCTCATTAAGATCAAATAATGTATTTGAATAGTTAATAATGTTTAGGAGTATATAACGTTTAATTATGCAAACGTTGTAGAATGTATGTTTTCTTTCATACAAACACGTTTGCAAATAACAATAGATGTGTTTTTTTCATTGAGAAATGTAATTTGGCATGCATACAAAACTGCATTGAATTTTGCAGCACTTGACAGGCATTACACTTGAGCACAAACGAATAACAAGTAATCATGCGCATAGTGGATATATAGGAGAAGATAATATTTTTCTTACATTTTTTATATTTATTTATATGATATGTAGCACATATTTGTCCTATATGTAGTTGATGCAAAAACATACTCGTCTTCTAGAAAGATCTGACATGTACAGACATTCGCCACTAGGATGACAGGCATCATTTTCACATCATACAGTCCTACCTGTGTTCCATTTCCATTGGAGGAGACACTGTGAGCAGGTGACCCCGTCTGGAAGTACTAGTTGTGTCCGGTACATCTGCGCACGCCCAACCTCAATGACCCTAGTTTTGCCGTCCTGTTGGTGCAGCAAATACCGGTCCAGACACTCCTGGGTGACAGCTTTAGTAGGGTCGTTATTCGGACACAGTCTGAACTCAAAGAATCCGTGATGTGATGCAGTAACCTGAATCTCAATGTCGATAGTGGCTCCCTCTGTATAGCTTCTAGTAATCTTTCCGGTGGCATATTTTCCTCCAGCCTCATGTTCACGTGGTCCATTCCAAGGGTCTCCACAAACACCACACTTCCCACCGTTTAAAGACCACTGGCGCTGAAGAACAAAATATGATTAACACATCTGATAAGCATAATTAATTTAAATTATACATTGAATAACACATTATGGGTCATTCGACAAACCGTCCTTATATTGCAAAATGGGCATTTGATGATTTCAATATACTTGTTGGATTTCATATGGAACTTAAGTGAAATCCTACGACCCGACCAAAATTCCCATAGTAATCTTCTGCAATATGACAACAATCTACTCAGTAATACAATGAAACATCAGGAACACACAAGTCAAGAGCGCATAGCAAATACAAACGGAATAACAGAGGATTTTAACATAAAACATACAAGATCAAGAGAAACAGTGCTTTATTTTGAAATAGAAATAGGTGTTTTCGAGTTTGGGCAGTAAAAGGAATTTAGTCCATTTCAAATATATCATATGGTAGCTTCATTATATCCAACACCTCGCGAAATGGCGAAATAGCAAATGCAAACTACTTTCAGATCTGCCTCATTTCATGTTTATACTGTACAATGTACCTCTCTAAATTTAAGTGAGAAAGTTAACTTGGGAACTGACCAACGAGAGTGGATATCGACCAAAGTATAGGGTTACAATTTCGAAATTTTCATAACTCGAAAATGTAGATTTTTGACGTCACAACGCCTGACGTAAATACACAATATTTACACTGTTAAATAATGAGTACTGACTAGAAGAAGGGAATAGAACATCGTTCAAAAGGAATGAAATACATAGCAAATATGGGGGCATAAACAACTCGTAGGGATGATAAAACTAATAGGTCTGCTAGGAGCATTAGAACCTTTGTATTCATATATATTTATCCCTGATGTCAGTTGACATACCAGGTATAGACTTAAATAGACGTGCGACATCACTTGACTTGAGAACAAAACTTACGTAAAAGCCTCCACAGAACAGTTGATTGTCGTTGTAGTTTTTTGGGGAGTCGAACCCAAGTCTCCACATACTGGCACGTGATGGGGGCTCCAACAACCTCCCATGACCTCTGACCTCAGCAATACACAGGGCAAGGGTCCAAAACATACAAATCCCGCGCATTCTGTCTTTGTAAATCTGGATATATGTTAACCAAATATTATATTAAATATCGCATAATTATAAAACATATATAACTTTCAAACACTATGATGTATAAAGTGCAACGTTTCTGTTGTTTCAACATTATTTTCAACCTTCAATTATACAAAACCAGCTAAAAAGATTAAATATATAATATTGGCGCAATCTGTTATGATCGACGATATTGTGCAAATTATTCAGTAGGTAGGTAGCGGGAATAATAATCAGAACCTATAACCTTTATAGTATACCAAAAATGTCAATTATCTCAACTTGTTTATGGATAGCAAATTTGTGTTACGTATAAAAGATATATAACGTTCATTTCTGTATTAGAATAGTTAATGTAAATTGCTAATCTCTAAGTTTACACCTTGCCTTTGCTTTTGAAATGTAACCATCGTGAGCATGCGCATTGTATAGTGTTAGTGCTCTATATCCCACGATAACCGACTCTTAATAAAATAAATCAACATAGGTACTATTTACTAATAGATAATACACTGTATTATAGAATTAATAAATAATAAGTATAAAAAGTGTATATCAAAATCATATAAATACAAAAAAATATCGCAGTCTTTCCCTACCTTATTTCTGAAACCAAAGTGTGTTTGCGACGTTCCTCCACTGACACGTTTGATATATGGTCTCCAATCTTGTCCTCGATTTATTTATACGTAAACAGTCTCTCACGGGTACAAAGTGGTATTTATATTAAAATTATCGGACATTTCGCGTGTCAAGGAGTTAAGCACTGGCCATTATTTGTTTACTTTAAAGTGACAACATTTCAACCAAATGTCCATTCTCTAAAATTAATGGACTTATAGATTCCTCTGTTTCTATCCGGGAACGTAGGAATAAGAAGAGATTTGTTTACATTTGAGCCAGTTTGAGTATGATGTTTCCACAGAGTCATTCTAACAGACAATCATCAACAAGGTGAATGGCCCTGAGAAGGCGCACCCCAAAAGGCAGAGCGTGACGTCACTGGATTTGATTAAAAGGAAGTCGGAGATTAAGGGTTTATTTTGATTCCATTATATATTGTCAGCTATGTCACGAGATAATTTCGAAAACAAAATTTGTTGACATTCCTTGAAATGACTTGTCTCGTGCTCGGTTCGAGGCCTGATTTCCGGTAGGGTACTACCGGCTAAATGAGCAACTTAGCCGCTCTAAGCATTGAATTTCGGCAACAATTGAGGTACGACATAGTCGGCCTCAAATACTTGTTTTTATTTTACTAAACCCCTTAACTAAGTCCCTTAATCCAATATTGTTGTTAACAACGTTTGTTCTCCTTTTCATCATTGAATGACTTTAAAAGATTTAAATTTGGAGTACTTGTTGTATTGAAATTGGGATGTGACAAGAGATCAAACTATGATTCTTTTTGTAACAATTTCCGGCATATATACCGATATACCTCCATCTCCACTACTACATGGCCTTATCTCTAAGGACGGCGTGGTGTAATCTACATGTTCAGACATCACATCCGTGGTAAGATACCCTCTCTCTGTCCTATGAGCTCAATTCTATAGGACAAAGTCATCCCCAAAGTAAACAAGCGTTAGGATAAATAACTACACCTATTAGAATTATTTATGCTATATTGTTCATTGAGGAAAATATACGTAAGAAGGCGAAAACGCAACATCAAAACTGATTTATTTATTTATTAAAATACTCTACTACATATATAGAAGATAAAAGAGTGTCAACATAATTCTTATAGTTGACATATTAAGTAATTAGAGTAGCTTAACCAAATATGTATGACCTCATCAATACTTTAGTGCAGCAGTAGATGATATGTGAACTCCATATACATGTATCATCAAATTGTCGTCAAAATATCCACTTCTTAAAGTACAAAGAAAATACCATCTAGTAATGTGATATTGTCTGATGGTGTCCTGTTTCAATCCCACATCGTCGATAAAGGAAGCACTTGAGTAAATGAAATGTACGGGTTTGAATAGTAAGGATGATTTGAGCTTGTTTTTGATACGCTTAGTTGTAATACATGTAGGAAATGACGAATCAAACTAACAGTTCGATTCAGCTACGCTTTGTTTTATACCTGTTCTCGTACATATACGACACCTTTGTGTACATACGCTTTAATTGTCATTTGTCTGATGAAGGTACGTCTGGTACTCGTCACACACAAACAGTTAATGGATGTGATACATAACATTTCTATAACGCTACGTAGGTTATATGTTTTAGTTTACACGGTACGTTCATTTCTCTACAGAGACTGATGGGAAGAACAAGCGACGGACTTTAGGCTATTAACGTCGATTCGATTACGTATTGCACAATGTGTCTGACTATGTGTGTAACAATCAAGCTGAGTCCTGTTAGAGACAACTCTCGCATGTATTTAATAGTACATAGGGACAGTAGAGCTGCCTGTTTCCATAAAAGCAATGACAATTGTTAATTGATGTATTTTTATCTTATTAAAATAACAAAATATATCAACATCGGTTGAAAAGTGGAAAATAATTATATAGTATATGAAAAATAATTTTAAATAAAACAACAGTTTTGTTTAAACCACGCGTATTCACTTTATGTATGGTGGTTATTATTGACTGGATAGTTATATTTTGATAATTCTGATAATTAACCAACATGGCAGGAAATGGTATCATAGCAAACCCGAATATCTCCTGATGTTCATTGAGCCCCAGGATACAGTTATAGACTAGGCACGAGGAAATGAAATGCTCATTGTGTCCCTAAAACACAACCTGTATTATGTAATATCACGAGGCGGGAAGCTTGGGAAGCGGTTTGCCTTGGGGGGACGATACAATGACAATTTCAGAAGTGCTCAGTCTGTAACTGTTTTATTATTATGATGTACACCAAGCCTGTAGACTCATTTTATTGTGTTAACCTTCCCGACGCTTTTGTTTGTAAACACGTGACGTTCGCCTCGTCAAATGGCCAGAAATAGAGTTGGTTGTAGTGGATTACAAAATCCCATACCGGAAAAATGTTGGTACCATACACACCGAACAGTCATTTAAAATTAATACTTACTTTTGAAAGTTCTGAACAACTATCAAGAACCATACTGTTCTTTCAATTGTGCAGTGATCAGTGACAAACACTCTGAGAGGTCAACGCCAAGTACTACTACTACTTATAATAATAATTCGAGGTTCTTATATACCGCTTTATCACAACCTAGTTCGTAGGTCGTCTCAAAGCGGTTCACAAATTAGTATCCGTGGTTATTTATTGCTGCAGTACTAGCTGCGTCCAGCTCCCATCTGTTACGGTTAGTCCGTGTTGTGTGATGTCATTATGTGAACGTGATGTTTTGATTGGTCATGCCAGGGAAATAGTTATGAAACTATAGCATGATGAAATTATTACATCCCAGGACAATAGCTTTTTGAACTTCGATTAGCTCAATTGCATTTATTATGATATTAATTTTGTTTAGGAACAGAATGGGAAGCTTTACAGAATCACACGCAAGAGAAACCGGCTGCTAAACCCGTTGTTACATGTCCCCAGGTTGGTAACATGTGGTGTGTTCTCGGATTTCTATTCTATTGATATAGACCTGCAGTCTAGTAATGTAAAGATCTCAGCAATCCTTGTTCACGAATGTTACGATGTACAATACGTACACATTAACATACACAATGTGTAATATAAACAGTATGTACACGTGACATACAAAACCTCTCCTCCTGTCCGTCTGTCCTTGTCAATACGTAACGAACAACTGTTGGTGGAATGTTCTATCATTAACGGCGGATGTGTTTGGACCAAAAATAATTGCCGTATGTAACTAAATATATTATATATGTATTTTTGACAAGACCTACCTGTTTATTAATACTGTTTTAATGCAAAGTTAGCTGTGTAGTTACTACCAATTAATTGACACGAGAACCCTGACAATCACGTACGTCATTTAAGTTACATTTATATAAAATATTAATACACTCATGTGGATTCTAAGTGCGCCTTAAGGATCCCCGTCCAAGCCAGAGCAAAACACTAAAGAATTCCACAGTCGTTTTCAGTGTTAGAGTCACCTGCCCATGATTACCATTTCGACAAGGTTGTTATCTTCCCTTGAATAGATTTCGTTTGAATAACGTTTCGAATGCATAGTTTTTATTACAGAGAAAATTCATAATTTCCCACAAAATCTGAAGAAACTCCCGCAAGGTATGGGTTCTTGTTCAGAAATGATTTGGTTATGCAATAACGATACCGTAGAAGAAAAAACAATGCCTCATTACATTTTTAGGTGGAGAGACGGGAATCCTTAACTAGATCCTTGGAGATTCGCTTGTGTTGATCGTCTCACAAAAATACATGTACCTAAACTCTTACATCCATTGAATTTTAATAATTATTTCATTGATGTTTCAGTAGTTTTCCAATTGCATCGTGCCGAACATAGATACTCCGAACTTAATAACAGGGGGAGGTCACTCTATGTACATCATGTGACTTTTATTTTACATATTTTCTATATCCCCTGTACATTTTCTGTGTTGTTTGGAAGCATGTAAACATGTAAATGTTAGAAAATAAATGATCTGATGTAGCTCAAAGTTGTGAATTTTCCTTTCGCGCTGTATTTTTATCAGTTTTGGGACATTTAGGACATGATGTTTCGTTGTTTTGACTTCTACTGATGAGGCCTAAATGGACAAAATGGTCGTATCAGCGACAAACTGACGTGCAAATGAGTGTTTCCTGACTTAGTACTTCTCGTTATATTTATGCCAGTTTAGTTTATAGGGTTTATCGTCCTATTCACCGATAAGTTTATTTAAGGACGTGCCTTGATGTGTATAATGTATGCCTGTGTGCTGCATGTGGTATGTTGGGGTATTTATCGTTTTGTGACTTAATGAAATTACATGCCGAATACCTCCAGTACAGTATTCCTCCTGGTAATATTATACTGACAACGCTTGAATTGGTTGTTGCCATTCCCCTATATGCTGAACGTTTGGAAGGGAATAACATATACCATTTATAGGGACTTTGGTGTGTTCCGGTTTGGGAACAGAACCCATTGCCTTACTTACAAAAAAATAAAAAAAAAATAAAAATAAGCATAGGACAGGAAGTGACATCAAATGTGATAATTGGATGCCTTATATAAGTCAATGTCCAATAGCATTTATATGAAAAAAATACTTTATTTACACTTTTGTTCTTACAAGGTAAGTCGAAGGCAGTACAAATCAATACAAATAATAATATAGGTATACCTCTTATGTAAGAGTGACAATTCAGTCCCAATATGATAAAGACTGTGTTTCTAATACCTTGTGCAACATTATGAATGAAGAAAACCAACCTTCTCTCAGTTCAAGAAACTGTTTAATAAAGAGGCGAGTATCTCTCATACCACCGACATCGTCAGAGCTTAATATTTTGTTTAGGTGTTCTTCCCCGGATAACGGAGACGATTTTATATTGTATAGCTATTGAGTAAAAAATTGTTTAAGAAAAACAATGGAAAAGAAATGCTTTTCATCTTCCAGAACATTACAATATTTCCGTATTATGTCTCTTCTCGATATCTTTTTATTCGGAAAATACTAAAAGGGAT